TGAAACAATTAGAAAGACTAGAAATGAAACAATTACACCCCTCCTACTAGTTGTATCGGATGTTCCATGAGAAATTTGCTCCCCTGTTATCATTTCCCTACGACTATGAGAAGTACGAATGAACCAGCCTGACACAGTTTTGCATTATTACATCGCACACACCTTAGGGCATGGCAGTCAAGAACGCCAGAGTCTCCATTAGAAGTTCGGTAGAACCCCCTCCGGCTCCTCCCCTCATACTATCGATCACCACACGCACAAATTATGCAAGACACAGCAAGTGGTCATCGTGAGTAGTGCCAAGCTTCGATATGATTGATGGAATGGTCGGAGAAAGCTGACATTACTGTGCTACTGCTTTTTGTACTCAAATACTGCAATGCAAGTAGCCTGGGTGCGATGCAAGAAGAATGCAGTGGTGAATTCTAGGCACTATAGATTAACAAAAAACACATTGTAAGACAAAGAGATGCATGAACACCCCCAGATTGCTATGCATGGCTTTGTCAGGCTGGTTAATGTATCATATATACCACATATCGTTTTTGTTTCAAATCAGGAACGCTTATAATGAGCACACGGTCTCTGTTAGAGATCACATCCGGTACTTGAGGTATGAAGCGGAAAATTGTAGGAACTGCAGATGACCAGAATGATAATCCCCGTCATGTGCACGCGATACCGCCCCGTGTATCAGGGGCTTTTCTGGGATTGTTCCTTCAATCGGAGAGGACGTCACAGCTGGCTGTACATTGACGTGAAATTGTCCGATCTATGAGGGAGAAAACCGATTCGTCTTGCCTTTGTTCGCGATGGCTTATATTCAGGCTGTTCTTTTGAGAGTAGCACAGACACTACAATGTACATGTTTGCAATTTTTCAGCTTTTGAACCACTTTCTAAGAAATGACGACCATTGTTGACAGCGATAACTACTGCTGGGGTTATTTTCAGAAACCAACTGACCAAGAGCGAGTGCATTATGCATTAGACGATACTCGTATATTTGAGTTCTTATCTTCACCTACATGTATAGACGTTGCAACATCTCTCAGCGCTATGTTGAAAGACCATAGATTTTCAACGAATGAAACATCTACAAAGTGCGGTAAGTTTAAATGGACCCGAACTGAATTCTTACAGATGCTCGTATCAATTCTTATGCAGTAACAAATACCTTGAGATCTCACCTGTACGGGTGTGTCACGTCTGTCGGCCTGCTGGAAACTTTTGTATCTCCCGTGTCGACGTGCTGGTTAAACTACTCAGCGGGACCACTACAGCGGGCAGACCGTCCACACGTGTCGCTCCCACCGGACAACCCGTCACGCCCAGATCCCGGCACCTCCACCGCAACAGGTGAGCCGTCTGGCGCCGGGTGGAGAAGGCGGGGACCGGCGGGGACAGTCCCTGTCTCTCCCGGCTCGGCCCTCCATCGCTCTCCCGCTGCCGTAATGGACAACTGAGTGTTCTAATTACCGATGATTGATCCGACTCTAACGGATAACAGCCGCCGCCACAGAGAAGACGAGTGGTGCCCGTGGCCTGGGCATCAATCTGAACGGCGTTGGTCGCTTTTAGCAAGTACTGGGTTTAAAGGTGTGCTGCTGATGGATGGCTATTAACAACTAAAACTGCAGATGAAGACAATTCAAGATATATTGAATCTAGAACAAACAGATAAAAAGATTCACCAATACCTTATCTTGTCAGTTTTATATTCAACTACGGTTTGATGTAAATATAATTACGATATGTGCTACGTTTTTACACAGTAATACTTTCTAAATCGTACGTAGGTTTGCATATACATATCAATCTTAGATGCTATACATGTACATAAAGTATTTCAATGGCGTGTTCTATGCATCCTTGTACGTTAACATTACATATTTCATACTAGTAGTTCATCCTTGCTGCAAGAAATAATGTATATCATGTGGCCGACGTCCCTTTAAAAATGAGCCTAGCAGGAACCTTACAGGCTGACAACCTTGTTCTGACACACCCTAAGCAGGTATACCCCCAATTACTGTGTGTGTGTGTGTGTGTGTGTGTGTGTGTGTGTGTGTGTGTGTGTGTGTGTGTGTGTGTGTGTGTGTGTGTGTGTGTGTGTGTCGTACGTC